TCTCTCTCTCTCTCTCTCTCTCTCTCTCAAATAAAAAAAAATAATAAAATAAAGAGCAAAAGAGATGGGCAATTGGAAGAAAGTTCATGAATATAAGTGCTGTTTACTCTACTGGGAGAAATCCTCTACCATCACTATTAAATATTAATACTTAAATATTTTGCAGAAAACGCTGCAAAAAGGAAGAATTTTAGAATTTCAACACAAAATCGTATGCTTATCGTAGCATTTAATTTTGCCTGAAACTGTTCCGTCAACTTGTTAATTGCCCTTCCTTCACTGCTAACAGAAGATCATACACAAAACAAATACCATCTAATATTAAAGAACAGAAAATACAAAACAAAAAAGAACAATCTGTTTCTTACAACTAATGAAATACGATATTTGTATATCATAAAAGTGGTGTGCCCCAAGTTTTAAAAGGCTGTCTCCATCTTTGTCTTAGCTTCACAAGTCACTAAAGCATCAGAATCTAACATTCCCAATTAAGGAATTAGGAAAACAACAAAGTCAATTCAAACTGAAATCTCATGGCTGTTAATGGTTATAGAATGGAAATGCAGATTTCTCCCTCTGAAAATTATGGAAAATAATTGAAAATGTTTCTGTAGCTAAACAATGTCTCTTTAAAGAAAATTAACAGGAATACTTTTTAGTTTTACAACAATTACTTCAGAATCTGAGAAATTCAGTAATATTAAAAAAGATGTTAGAAACAAGAAAATACATGTTTATGCCTTAAATATGAAGCAAAATTTGTCTGAAAATGAGATCGGACAATAGTAAGATCTGGATTTGCCCCTCAGCCCAAAGAAGTCTTATGGATTCAGGATATTCTCTGATTACAATTTAATAGATCAATAGAATTTCTGACTAGCTACATTTTACATTATTTAGTCAATATTAGCACATGCAAAGCAGAAAATGAAAAGGTAATTAATCCTGATCCGTGATAAGAAGAAGAAATAAGCTAAACTCCACTACAATTTGAAATTTGTCAGACGCTCTGTGAAAGGGGAAACTGCAGGCCAGAATAAAGGCAATACCAAAGTGTGTGTGGAAAGCCTGCATGTGACTGCGGCCGTGTCACTCATAAGCCATGCCACACCCAGGACTTTGTTTCACTAGACTTTAGTGTTCTTATCTGACACCAGGCCAGAAGATGGCTAAATTCCTTTCCATCCCTGACATAAGATCCTGCCTGCACTATTATTACAACTACTGGGATGTTTTACTTTGTAAAAACCTAATTTACTTAAATTTTTTTCTCCGTTGGTCTGCTACATGGGAGCCCACTTCATTCTTTTAAAACGTTCCTGGGGCGCCTGGGTGGCGCAGTCGGTTAAGCGTCCGACTTCAGCCAGGTCACAATCTCGCGGTCCGTGGGTTCGAGCCCCGCGTCGGGCTCTGGGCTGATGGCTCAGAGCCTGGAGCCTGTTTCCGATTCTGTGTCTCCCTCTCTCTCTGCCCCTCCCCCGTTCATGTTCTGTCTCTCTCTGTCCCAAAAAGAAATAAACGTTGAAAAAAAAATTAAAAAAAAAAATTAAAAAAAAATAAAATAAAATAAAACGTTCCTTGTTGGTGTCACTTTGCAAGCCCTAACAGATCCCAGTGATAATCATCAGTGGCTGCTAACATTCAAAAAGAAAGACAGCCAGACCTTATGAGCCTCCATATAGATGACCCATCACCATCTATGAAGTTTGGGGGAAAAAATGTTTTATATCAATTATCAACTTATAGGAACACAGAGTCAATGATATAGCAGAGGTGAAATCGGCAAAGACTTACAGTGGGAAGTTAATGGACAAAGGACATCAGTTTGTTCAGTAAAAAATTACAAGGAAAAAAGGAGAGATGGAGAGGAATCTATAGGTTTAGAAAGACTTGAAACATAATCTGATTATAATCAGACACAAATTACAATGCACGTACCTCCTTCGCATGCACATTCAAACTAACAAATTGTACTAAAAATAAAAGATCCTGAGGGGAAGCGGACACTGACTGCACCTGTAATTCCACTGAGGAACTGCCATTATTTATTTATTTTTTGGGGGGTGTGCAATAGGGTATTTTAAGGCACCTTCTTATTGATACATATTGAAATATTTATGGATAAAATTACACGATATCTGGAGTTTGCTTCAGAATAATATGGGGGAAGATTGTGCAGTGGTATAAATAGAATCAAGTGGCCAAAGGCCGATAGCTGCTGAAGCTGGGTGATGAGCACTCAGGGGTTCATCACACCATTCTCTTGACTTGTATGTATGTTAGAAATTCTCTATAATAACAAGTTTATAAAAATATCTGAAAAAGTACCTTTAATGTTTCATAAATCCTATAAAATGTAAGTGTTTTCAAATTTAAATATGCAGCAAGTTTTTGCTACTACATAGCTATGAATTTTCTTATCTGAGGTAAAAGGTTTAAACCAACATATCAACCAACCCAATTGCTGTAACTCTTTCCTTGACAGATTAGATTACCCTGAACAAAGATCTAAAGTTCAGAGATTTTCATAAGCAACCACCATATATAAAAATACATCAGGGTAAAAGAAAAGCAAGTTCAAGCAATTTGCACCTGTCATTCAAAGATGAAAATGCCGCCTTCGAGTGACAAAGGATTCAGCAAGAGCTTACTGAACCCCTGCCATGTGTCAAGCTGTCCGGGCACACTTCTGCATAAATACAATGCAAGGTCTCTTCGATCACATTCATCACTGGTTGACAAAACTCAATAACTATGCTCAAATACTTTCTGGAAATAGAAATATGAAGAGTACAAATACCAAATAATTATGTACACATATAGGTGTGTGTGTGTGTGCAAGATAGAGATATACAAGGACACAATGTACACAAAGTTGTATTCATATGCACCAGGACATAGATTTTGTCTGTCTTAAAAAACCTCACCATGATGTCTGGTAGCATTTAAATTAAGAGGATTTTTAGGATGCCACCAGCCTCTCTAAAAATTACCAAAATGGCACAAACATTAGGAATATTAAGTGGGCTGTCCTAACACAGACCTTGATTAAATACAGCTTAGCTCATACCAGAGTAAAAACCTAGATGTCTCTTGTGCATTAGCCATACCTTTGTCTTTCTCAGTTTTATGATAAAAGTAAATAGGCATTTACTATAGTCACACAAGATATTATCTCCAGGGAAAACTGGGTGATGGGTATGTGAGATCTCTCTGTACAGTTCTGGGTTGTTTTTTTTTTTTTCGCAACTTCCTGTGATTCTGTAATTATTTTAAAATTTAAAAAGTTAAAATAAAGCATATTGAAACTACTGATGCCATTCTCTGGCAGTAGAGAACAAGTAGGATCATTCTAAAGCTAAAGGTTCCATTTAAACAAATCCTCCCAGTATACATAACTTCTGTGTGTGATCTGATCTACATTTTATACATTTTACCATCTGATACACATTTTATCATCAGAGTGTAAACAGCTACTGAAAAACCTATGAGAACACTGAGAGATGCTCTTTCTCTTTCAGGGGATTGCTTCAAGGCAGCAAGCCACAGGGACGTTATCATCACATCTGCTTTTCTATGAAGTCCTTTGTGACCACCATTGTCCCCACATCCCGATGGGACTGGTCTCTCCACCTTTGTATACCATTTTCCTCAGCCACCCATGGAGCACATGGGGCACCTCCCTGAACTGGTTTCTGCACCCAGTTTCTATAATGTGAGCTGACTGAAGGCAGGGACCCCATCTGATTTGTCTCTGCATATCTTCAGTGTCTTGTGCAGTGTCTTAGTAGTAACAGGGGCTAAGTAAAGGTTGGATGTATGAGGAATAGAAGAAAATGAGGAAGAAAGGAAAAAAGGAAGGGAGGAAGGAAGGGAGGGAGGAGGGAAGGAAGGAAGGAAGGGAGGGAGGAGGGAAGGAAGGAAGGAAGGAAGGAAGGAAGGAAGGAAGGAAGGAGAAATGATGGATAGATATGGGCGGACAGATGGAGAGATGGAGAGATGGGCCCTCTTGTCCTAACTGTACATACTGGAAGATTGCCAAAGCTCTGTAGTTCTTTCAGAAGCATCCATCCTTGTTAGGAGACCATGCCTCTTCAGGGACCTCACAACCCCCTCAACAAGGGACAGAATCTGAGGTAACTAAATGTGGCTGCTGAAATTTGGGGCTCTCCTAGTCCTGAAATGGAGGGCTTTCAACTGAATGAGTGTTGGGGAGAAAAGTCTCTCCAAGAGAAACAGCCCCTGCCAAGTATGTGAAGGAAGGCTAGGTGACCAGTAGAGACCATTCCACTGAGTCTCCTAACCTCCTACCCCAGAAATTCCAGCACCATGTGTTTTGGGCTGAGGGAGTCAGGCAGGATCAAAAGTCCATATTATTAAATCAGAGCAGGAGGAGACAGTTTATTTCAGTAATTCCAAAAATACAAAAGGCATTACTTCTCTGACCCTTCAGCTCTGAAAGCATAGCTAACAATGGCAGGATACCGAGAGGTCAAGGGTCTCCCAAACAGGTTGTCCGATACCTCTCCAGATCTCTTTTTCTGCCTCAGCCAAGGAGTCCCAAAGTAATTTAAACATGCAGAGACAGCACTTCAGTGAGCAGGGTACCAAATGGTATGCAGCAGCCTCAATATATAAACTGGTTACATCCCGGGCTTTATCAGGATTAACAATGAAAGTGACCGTTTACGGACAGCCTTATATGGGCGAGGTGTTTATGTACATAATTGCCATTAGAACTCATAACACACTCCCCCATGGAAATAATGGTATAATGATTCGATTTGGTCCTCCCTCTTAGAAAGCCCATTTAATCTACAACATCCTTGAGGTACAGTATTGTTATTGTAGGACCCAATTACCAGGTACAACTGGGAAGCAGAGAATCACCGGACCCCAAGCCAGAGAAGGCAGCAGGAGCTGCAAGATGCTTCATTTGCTCCAAAATCACCTCCCGTCTTTCCTACCACAGACCCTAGGATGGAACGGAGTTCAGGGGTGGGGTGGAGTGGGGTCCCTGGCTCTGGCAGTGGAAGGAAAGGGTATAGCTGAAGCCTATGAGCCAACCAGCCAGATCTGCTGTTTCTATGAATGACAGGCCATAGGAGCCCACGCTACTGAGAGACCAAGGGAAGAAGGTCACTCGAGCACTTCTCCAGAAGTGGCTTTACCTCCAAATCGGGAACCTGTCCATCGTGCTACTGGTTAAATAAAAGAGACACAACTAACTTGGGAGCACCACTCCAGTCAGATTTTCCCAAATGGAAAAGAAAGACGTTTTAGTATTATTTTGACAGCACTGGGTTTAAAAGGGGAGTCTGCCACCCCAGGGAGTGGCGCACCACTATGACACAGTCGAGCCGCTTTACGACATTCACACCATGACCTTGGCTCAAGACGGCACATGAGATACACAGACGCCCACGTAGGAAGTTGGGTTAGCGACTGGGAGAACAAAGCTTCCCGGTCCTGACCTTTTGCTCCATGAGCTGGAAAGGGCAGCAGAGAAGCTGGAGGGAGGAGAGCTTCAGGCCCTGGAGAAAGAAAGACCTGGAGTTCGTTCTCACCATCGCAGAAAGACACGCATGCTCACCCAAGGTGGGGCTGGACTCTCCGCTGTCTTGTCATACTTGTAAGAAACCTGGCATGCAGTCATCCCGAGCACAGCCCTTCTCACCACCAGCGGGTTTTGTGTGTGTGGGTGTGCCATTTTTCTCCAAGTTGCTCAAGGGACGGTGAGAAATACAGTCTCGTTTGGTTCCTTTAAAAAATAACTATCAACTTGCAGGGAGTGACACTTTAGAAGTGTATGGAAGCACAGTAATGGGAGCCAGAGGGGAATAGGACCACGGCATGAAGGCTGACGGTCACTCATCCAGAGATGCACAGTGTGCATCTGCACACTCACAAAGGTGTGCAGTTCACACCTTTACAATGATAACCTACTAAACCACAGGGGTTAAGGCAGCATAACCAAGAGTGTACTCGTGAGCTTCTGTCACTGTCACTCGGCACAGGCTACAGAACAGAGGGGTGGCTGGAGCAGCACCTGTGGGTGCCCGCACTCCCTTCCTGCATCGGGGGCTTCCTTACTTGACTTGGAGAGCTGCTCATCCTGGGAAATGCCCAGGTCATCCGATTCCCCCGACAGCTCCTTGATGAAGTTGGAAGGAAACATTCCAGTCTTTCCATTGAGAACGCCTTCCCACCATCCTTCTTCTACCTGCACAGATGCAAACACAAGAACAGAGATGCAGGACTCAGGTTAGACACTGTGGTTCCCAGTCTTCTCTCCCACCTGTATGGTGCACAACGCAGAGCCCACACAGGGAGAGCAGAAGGACCCAGAGTTTACAAGTTAACAGGGAATGAGATCACCAACCTCATGGAGTCTTGAGATTCAGACTCGGGGCAGGGGGCTGAGCCTGGGGCCCATAAACACAAGTGGAAAATAACTAACTCTTCGTTTTTGCTAACCTCAAACTAAAACTTGGCATTTCCTTTGCTTACAAAATGTAGGTAACACAATAAGAGTAGACGGACCTGTGACTGGTCACCAAACAACTCATGGACATATTCATATCGCATCACAGATGGTGTGGGTATCTCAAGATATCATTTGCACCCATCAGTACTATGAAGTGGTGATAGTTACCAACCTGCTGGGGACCTTGTTATTTAATGTGTTCGTAGGGAATTATATATTAATTAAGATAAGAAGTTAAACTTAGATTATCATATCAAAATTTGTTTCAAAAATAGCTTGATAGCTACTGCAATGGTTCCCTTTATAATCGTAGGCTTCATTTTATGCATTTCAAACCATTATTTAGCAACTGACCATGGCTTCCCCAGACTACCCAAATTAACTAGATGGCCTAACGAAATCAATTGACAAGCCCTGAGCTACAAACTCAACTGGAAGGGAGAACTCCCTGCAGGTTTCTGAAGGGTTGTAGATAACCCTGAGAAGAACCGCAACTGGGTGAAGAGAGACAGGGAGGGCGGCCAGACTGGAGTCCTCTGGCTGGGAGAGTGAGGCCGGATCTCGGGGAGCAGTGACAGTGCAGAAGGCAGGTATGGATTGGAAGGCCCTCTGAGGTATGAGCTGGTCTTGAGACACCAGTTCGCTGGGACGATCAAGAGGAAGGTAAAAAGTCATTCCAAGATTTCGTGATGGAGCCACTAACAGCAAGATGGCTTCTTGGAGGAAAGTGACAGAACATTCTGAGAAGAAGCAAGCATTAAGTTACTTGTGTGGGCGATATAACAGAAAGAGACCCTGAACCTTTGGAATTTTTTTTTACCACATGCATATATCACCAATTCAAACTGACAAATACAATTTAACAGCTAAAACAATTAAAACAAAAAAGATAAGGGATATTAGAGTCAAAAGTCCAGTTCAAATCCTACTGAAGCTTAGCAGTTGTCTGACCTCATTCAAATTTCCTACCAAACCAAACCCTGAGTTCCTATCTATACAATGGGGATAATGAATACACTCATTCAGTGTTAAAGACAAATGTATTACGACTCTACACTAAGGGCTAGGGACACAGAACTGTACAGGGCATCGCTGTTTTTTCCCTCAAGCAGTTGACAATGTACGAAGGGAGAGAGGGCACGTGATCAAAAGAGGGGAGAGGACTGGTGTGACAAAAAGCTAGTAATGGGCAGTGGATAGATGGGAAAATGCCATGACTCAGCACAAACCAGACTGGTTACACAAAGTCGAGCTCACTGAGATTTGGGATGCTACAGGAAGCCTTTGAGAAAAAAAAAATCAAAATTAAGGTTGGCCTTGAAGAGGATGAATGATAGATGTAAGTAGGAGAAGGGGGTGCGTGAGACACTCCAGAAAGGGGGGAGCTGACAGGACCTGTGCAGTGGAAACAACGAGAATGCCGTTTGGAGCATTTGTTAGGGAACTCATGAAATACAGACTTGCACAGTGGCGATTATATCTGCGTGATCACAGAAATCTTCGGGAAAGCATCCAGACATCCATGTACAACTGTCCCAGTGACTATTCAATACCAAATCGTGGCATTTAACAGCATTTCAGTTGAAACCGTTCCATGTTACTATGCCAACTCAACTGATATGTGTTATTCTTTCAAGGAGCTTTTTATAGGATTAGGATGGTTGGGAAAATTCGCCATGAGCCTGAATATAAATAGTCACCGGATTTATAGCGGGGGTCCTTTGTACTTGTCCTGAATAAGAAACCATAAAACGACCTTCTTTCTCCCAGAATCACAGGGCAGGAGGAAAAACCGAGGGCACAGACCACAAAGGAGCAGTCCCTAGCGTAATCCCCGACAGACAGCGCAGGGCAGCCGGGCCAACTCCATTCATTTCGGTTTGACAGTATCTAAAACAGCTCCGTTCCCAGTAAAAGGCGGCTCCAGCCTGAGATCCCTGAAGGAAGTACTCCTGATGTATGGGATTGGTCAGCCGCCTGCTGGGAAAACAGGGGTGTCTTCACCTCACCACACGCCCAGATGCCTGTATCCATGTCACGGCACAGTCTGAGAGGAGTGGCCAAGAGGGAAAGAGCAGAGGTCTATCATTAGCCACGCAGGCAGGGAGCGGAGGGGCAATAAAACCACCGCTCACTGCCTGGGGGGTACGCTCCCCATCACTGGAGCCGTGGCAGTGGGGGCGGGGCGGGTTGCCCGGCCCCTGGACCGGTGAGAGTCGTTCAGTGCTATTTCTTCCCTTACCCTGCTGCTTTAGTTGCAAGATCCAGGCTAGAGACAGGGTGAGGGGTAGGGGGTAAAAATGATCCTTGCCCTCCGACCATTCCTCTTCAGCAGTATTCTAGAGTTCAACCTCCCGTATTGAGATGAGGACACTGAAGCCCAGAGTGATTACATTCATTCCATCAGTCAAAGAGTAGAGCACAGTACCTCACACTTTGAATGAATAAACGAACAAAACGCCGGGAAATCATTCGAGGAAACCCGCCATGGGGGTCTATGAAGCCCTGGTTCACCGACCAAAGGACCTGCGCTACTGTGAGGAGCAAAAGGGACAAAAACTGTGGGACGTGTCTTTTGGACATGGGACATGACTGTGTTAGCCACTGTTCTTAATTAAGTGCCGCCGGGCCCAAGTGTGTGTGCCCCTCTCTATCCGACCAATATTTCATAAGCTCCCAGCCCGCGCTGCCCTAGGACCTTGGGGCAGATTCAGTGGTGAACAAAACAAAGACACTGTGCTGGAGAAGCAACAAAGAAGGGAACATACAGACCCTGTGCACTCCCCACTTAGAACCCAAGCTTGCTTATGTTTGTTTGTCTATTTAAAAGAAAAAAATGTAGAAATGTGTCCCTTGGCAATAAAGTGTGGATTGTGGATGTTACCGAGGGCTTATAATTTCTGCCCCAAGGAGAGTAACGAAGGGGAGCCGATACCCACCTTCTCTGACACTAACACACATATCAACGGCCTTCTGCAGGCCTTGGCTCTAGGCTGAGAACAACGCCCACCCCGTGTCCCTGTGACGGACCCAGCCAGCTCCGGAGCCCATGGCTATGTCCCGAGAGCCAACCCCATCTTCGGCCCGGAGCTGGGAACAGGGTGGCTGGCTCCTGGCAGTGTTTGAGAAAGAAACTTCAATGGTTTGTGCTGGGGGCCCTGCAATCCCCACGTCTTCACAATCACCAGCCTCTAAGTGGGTTCACTGCCCAAGGAGGCCACTTCGAGCTTTTAGCCCTGTTGGAAGCTGGGGAAGTGGCAGGGTGACTTATAGCACTTCCAGCCAATTTTATACACATTATCTACATGCGTAAGGCACCAAAGAGGATGCCTGCGAATACAAAGATGACCATGCGGTCTGGGGTACACAGCTATTCAAGAAGAGTTTCCACTTACCAGCGTTCAAGTTTGACCTGTCAACCGTACTGAGAAAGGGACGTGCTTTAAAGTCTACCTCAGGGTGCCGCTTAGGGGCTGCTATGGCTTTTTACATGCATGTAACCCTTCGTAGCCCACAGCTGGGTGAGAAGAACGCTGGAGGGGTAAGGGTGTGGGAGTCACAGGGGAGGGAGAGGCACACAGGCAAATGAGGTCAGCTCCATCGTTCCAAGAGCCGTTTTACCATTCTTTCCAGGAAGGAAAACGGAAGAGTCAAGCTTTAAGGAAAGGCCCCACACCTTAACATGACTAAACACTACCTCAAAATTTGTTCTGACTTCATAGGTTATATGAATCTATTTCCTCTAGGCTTTCCAATTTGTGGGTGAATAATGGCTCATAATAGTCTCTATCTATCCCTTGTATTGCTGTGTTATCGGTTGTAACCTCTCCTCTTTCATTTCTGATTTTATTTATTTGAGTCCTCTTTTTTCCTGGGGGAGTCTAGCTAATGATGTCTATTTTGTTTATCTTTTCAGAAGATCAACTCTTAGTGTCACTGATCTTTCCCATTATCTTTTTAGACTCCATTTCATTTATTTACGCTCTGATCTTTGTGTTCGCCTTCCTTCTACCAACCTTTCACTTCATTTGTTCTCTTCCTAGTTCTTTGAAGGTATTATGCTAAGTGAAATAAGTCAAAGAAAGACTAATACTATATGATCTCATATGTGGAATCTAAAAAAAAAAACCCACAGACTCATGGATACAGAGAACAGACTGGTGGCTGGCACAGGCAGGGGCTGGGGGTACGTGAAATAGATGAAGGTGGGCAAAGTGTACAAAATTTTAGTAATAAGACAAATAAATCCCAGGGATGTAATGTGGAGCACGGTGCCTATAGTTAACAGTAGCATATTACATATTTGAAAGCTGATAAGAGAATAGATCTTAAAAATTCTCATCATGGGAAAAAAAAATTGTAACTACCTGTGGTGATGGATGTTAACTAAATCCATTGCTGTGATCACGTCGAAATATACACTACACATGTATCAAATCATTACCTTGCATGCCTAAAACTAATACAATGCTCTACATTAATTATATCTCAACATTTATTCAGAAATAATTAAGTGAGAATTTCCACACTGGCCCTTTCTCCTATCTTTGAGAGGTAAGGAAAAGTATTTTGAAGATGTTTAAAACACTAGAAAAATATTTGGAGAGTTTTTAAGTTTTTTTTAAATTGAGGTATAATTCATATGATGCACACATCGTAACAGTACCAGTAAATCGGTCTTCACAAGTGCAAACACCTGTGTCACCCTCACCTCTATCAACATACGGAAAATTTCC